CTCATCGGCGACGTCTTCCGGAGGCTCATGTGCATCGGCGGCTCCCGCCGCGGCTCCGGGGAGTCGTGCTACCAGGAGCTGCCCGACGAGGAGGCAGATAAGACCACCACCTCATCCTTGTTGCCGCCGCCGCTGTGGCTTAGCTTTTTGTTGTAGGCGGTTTGGTTTCCCCAAATTTCACGATCAGCTCGCTCCGGTGTGCTTCCGTTCCGTGCGATCCCCCCGTCGTCGCCGGCCGAAACATGGGCAGGTCGTTTGGGTCGAATGGACTAGTAATTCTTATAAGGGAGGCATACATTTTAAAGGGCTCTTAATGGGGTGGTGAGGAGAGGAGCATCTCTTGTCCCTCGTCCCCGCGTTATAAAGCCTTTCCAGTTTATATTCGGTCCGTATGTCGGTGGTGGTTCTACCAAAGCATAATAGTACCCTTCAAAAAATATTTAAAATGACCTATTCCTTTAAATTGGGCCACTTTTCCTAAAATAATTTAAAACAACAGTAATTTAACAAAATTTACCTAAGTTTTTTTTTACTTTGAACCAAAATTACCGGTAATTCTCGAACCCCTAGCACCCTAGCGATTACTGCGTTCATTAAAATACGAACCAGCACAGGTACACAGAACTACGCAAGTGCATTCAATAAAATTCACATGTCCATGTTCACTGTTAAAAAACATTTATCAAAACAAAAATTAACAACAAAAGTTCAGTTAAGTTTTCTTTTTTTGACAGTGTACAAATTGAGTGTGGACGCTGCCAAGCAGGGCGGGGCGGTGCTGGGCGGCGGCGGCGCTGGCGAGCCGGAGCCGCCCGAGCGGTAGGCAGCTCGCCCGCGCCGCTGCGCGAGTGCCAGGCGGTGGCCTACCTCCCGGGCTGAGGGCCAGTCACTGGCCAGTGCACGGCGGAGCGCGCCCCGCCGCCCTTCATCATCAACGATCGTTTTCGGAATAATGTATGCTCATTATTGAGCGAACCATTTTTCCTCGGGCGCTGAGTGTGTCCCTTTCTCCCTCACCCTCCCCCCCCCCCCTCATTCTCTCCCCCTTCCCGTACCCCCCTTCCCCATTAACGGCTAGGCCCCGGGGCGGAAGCCTCATCAGCAGCAACAGCAATCCGTTGGGTAAACTGTCCAAACGCTCCGGTTGTAAAACCGTGTATGGAAAACAACACGATTCACGATTGCAAATGCAAGCTCTGGCTGAGCCGGGCCGGGCTCTGTTTGCTTTTCATTAGGCCGCTGAGCGCTGTGTACCGCGCTAGCTCTCGCTCATCCGCCGCGCGCGCTCACCTTTGGCACCCCGCGCAACGGAACGGCACAGGCCGGGGCAAAAATATGTAGATACTTTGGGCGGGGCAGGGCACTGGGCTAGAGCACGCACGAACCTTGCTGTGGCTTTTCATCATGTTTTTTATAAAACTGTGTTTTTTTCGTGTTTCTTTTCTTTTCCCCTGGAACTCTTTTGTTGACGTGTCTGTTTTTCTCCGCAGGCCCCGTCGCGCTGGGCGCCGCCATGGACCCCGTGCTGACGGCCCGTGAGCGCCGCCGTGCCGCCGTGGGGGCGGCCCCGTGACGCGTCCGCGCGTGTGTGTGTGCGTGTGCGTGCGCGCGTGTGTGTGTGTGTGTGTGACAGTGATCGTGATGAAGATGTGGTCGTGACCGTCCACGCCTTGGAAGTGACCAACATGACGGCAGGGAAATGAGAACCGTAGCGCGTTGTGGTGAACTGGCCGACATGTGACCACCGTGTCTGGCGGTGGTGACCCGGGGGGAGGTGAGTGTTGCTGGGTCCTCCGCTAGGAGAAGGGTGTCGGTGCTCAGTCGTCTGAAAATGAAAATGTCGTGCCAGCTCTCGTACGCTTTTCAAAGAGTGTTTGATAAATATCGTGTTCCATTCTTGAGTGTCATGGCGCGCATTCCTTTTTGATGATTTGAGCATTGTATACTCTTATCCGTGGTGCCCGAGAGGGGTGGTGCAATCAAAGCTCCGGTGGGGATGAGACAAACATAATTTTCGTATGGAGAACTTCGGGAAAAACTCAGGTGCAAATTTTATGTGCATCGTTAAGTCTTCCTCATTGAGAGAAGTTCCTCCTATGGCTCGCGAAGATTATTTAATGCCCCTTATTTTGTTTCCTGCACAATAATGAGTTCTTGCCAATAAAGTCAACGGGGGTGTTCCCTAATAATGACTTGTTGCTGGAGAAAAATGTTCTGTGGGGTTAAAAATTTGGGTCTGGGAAGTAATGTTTAGTGCCCAGCGCCAAAATAATTTTCTTAGTGCAAGCGCACGTAAATTTTGCATTCGTCGGGCTATTCAATCAAATTATCCTCTATTTGTGATTCTTACAAGGGTGTTTCAAAATCAGTTTTGTTCAGCTTTGAAGCTGGAAATTAGCGTTTCTCCTTGGTTCAAAGACTTTTTCACTTCAATGTATTCAAAATTATATTAGGAATCGCGGCCTTTACCCATGTTATTTGTCGCATCCACACAAGCTTAGGTCGCACTCTCCCTCTCGCCGGAGTGCGCCTTGCACCTCAGAGCCCCGCGGTGACGCCAGGTGGTGGGTTGCAGCTGCTTGCAGGTGCGGTGGCTGCCGCGGCGCAGCTGCAGGTGTGTGATGCAGCGGGGGCTGAGGCCCAGGGCTGACGCGGCTTACGCGGCTGACGCCTTGCTGACGCCCACGGGTGCAGGGTGGCGGGGGTAGACTGCGGCTGTGACGGCGGCTGCCGGGGGCGGCGGGGGTGGGGCCGGGGGCGGCGCGGGGAGGCCGGCGACGAGGCGATGAGCGGCACCTGCGGCCTCTGCTCCCTCATCGGCGACGTCTTCCGGAGGCTCATGTGCATCGGCGGCTCCCGCCGCGGCTCCGGGGAGTCGTGCTACCAGGAGCTGCCCGACGAGGAGGCCACCATCCCCAATGTAAGTACAAACTCACACGTGTGCGGCTGTCTTTCATAATTACTTGAACTTTGTATCTCGACAGAAAAAATTAAAGGAAATGTCGATTTTTGAACGAACTATGTGAGAGTCAGTGCGTCATGTTGAACGTTCGATATGGTCCCATATGTGTGCAGATTATACTATCACCATTTCACAAAACTGTGTCACACTGGCCTCTTATTCACGATTTCGCGGGTATCGTGACGTGCGTTGGCAGCTGATATCACTCACCCCCCGCCGACACAAAAAAAAAAAACAACGAAAAAAATACAACTGCCGAGCAGCACTTACAGTTTTAAAGCTTTGGAAAATTTGAAATTTGTCAGTATTTACTGATTTAAAAAAAAGTCAAAATTTCAATAGGGGACTAAATCTAAAAAGTGTCTTGTATTTTAGTTGTATAGAGCTTGAGTATCAGGATATATTTTAGCCGTAGTGGCAATGCATCAAAGAATTATGTCCAAGAAATTTTTAAGTCACGTAAAATTTTTAAGTTTCCAAACATTCCTTTGCACATTCTATTTCGGTGTATTTTACCCAACATTAGCTTCTACGAATCCCATTAATAAGCGCTACAACTTATCTCAACCACTTTAAATGATTTAGTCGCTTGGATTTTAATTTTTGAGTAACTCGAAAACATGAAAATAGCTAAATTTTCAGGCTATAGTCTCCCATTATCAAATGAAGTTCGGTGATCTAATCAAGAGCGCGGTTTTCTAGGCGCGCGCTCCACACACACGCACACACACACACACACACACACGCGCACACAATGGCCGAGATTTTGTCGCGACCGCAGCAGTGGGTTATTGTGTAACGAAAAGCGCAGGCCGCGAGACCTTAGAGTCACTTAGCGCCCGGCCGGGCCGGCCTGGGGCCTGGCCGCCGGGCTGGCGTGTTTAGGCGGCAGGGGCAGCAGCAGACGACGCCCAGCAGACGATGTGCCAACGGACGGGCGGCCCTCGCAGCCGCTCAAGCCAAGCAGACCAGACAATAAATAAACGGGATCGAATTCGCGCCCGCGCCGCTGCGCTCCATCGCGGTGTGACACAACACGTTGGCTGTGCAGCTGCAGCTGTCGGAAGGGGGCCGGATAACCGGCACCTCGTTTTCTCTCTGTGTCTCCCTCTCCCTCCCTCTCCCTCCCTCTCCCTCTCCCTC